ACATAAATGAAGGTATTACTCAGCTGTGTTATGTAGGGTTTCTAGTTGACCTTCACCATGAGATGAAGACCATGTCAAAAACTTACGCTACCAGTTTCCCTTTATTGCTCCTCAAGTCTGTTTACTACGAATTTACGATAGGTACCTACATTGTATGTATGTTATGTATGTAATCCACTAATACGTGAGAAAACCTCTGAATTAATTGGGATTACAATGAATTGCGTATTTGCAACCGCTAATGGATGATTCAAACGTAACATTTAAATGATCTACTACATGAGGGTAAAATGGTATTGGGGTGGATTAGCACCATCCTATAATTAGTTTTGTTATTCCTATCATGATGTAATGTCAATTTTAACTAAATACTTTTCCCGTTCTGTATGACCTGAGAAATATATAAGAAGATGTATAAGAGGTTAATATTAAGAAAAATATAATTTTATGAAAATTAATTCGAACGTAGTTTTGCTTAAGCTAGTCCTCATTGATCCACTTTGGGAATGACATCATATTTTAATTTTTGATTAAATATCAAAGGGTCTTAAAAAGACGAGGAGATTTTATTTTTAAAAAAGTCATTAAATTACTTTGAAGAAGTTCATTGGAAAAGAAGTAGATCAAAGGGTAGACTGAAATCCTCTGTAAAATAATAAAGTGAAGTAGGTATATTAAAATAAATCAGAAAATATTATTTTTTCTGTATAAGCTGTCACACCCCCATCAACGATTTATAGGTAATATTGATTCCTTTTTTTGTTTGGTATTGGAGGATTACGCTCAGAAGACTTTTACAAGGTATTAGTTAAATTTTTTTTAAAGAAATTCGAAAAAAAAAATTGGGACTTTTTTGGTTCAGTGAAATGTAAATAATTTACTTTCTCGGATTTTTCTTTCTTAATGTTCCTTAGAAATACACCAACTTATTTATTCGCTGTGCAACTTTGTGGTTTGAAACAAGAGCGAATTTGAACTCTCCTTTTAAAAATTGTATCAAAACTAAATTTCTCCCGCAATATTAATCGGTCTTCTCTAAAAGCTATAAGTTGCAGAATTTTAGCGCCAATTCTAGTACGAATTGAAATTCGAAATAGGAAGTTGGAAAATTGGGCTACGGAACGGTATATATTTTCGAAATATTTAAAGGTATATACAATTTTAATTCACTATTTACAAATTGATGATTCAAAATTAATGTAACATAAACAAGATATTACTGTAACCGGAAAAAAATTATAGTAATTTGAAACCATTAATATATATAACAAAAGCACATTTCACTACAGGTGATTAATTTGCTGATACGTTTTTCACTTGGAATTATTTATAACATTCCTCAAAAAAAGTAAATATGAAACTTGCGACATAATTTCCAAGGACACATGTAACTTCATTTAAGGGTAATTTAAATAGGCGTTTAAACTTTAAAGTAACTAATAAAATTTTGAATTGACCAGCATTCATATCACTAATGATGTTTATTAATTATTTCTTAATAAAATAAGAGATGAAAATTTTATTTAAATTGGTACTTTATATTTTTATAGAATATTTTTATATGATAAAAAATACATAAAATGCCATCTAGCTATTCGGCATTATATTTTCCAATATTATTCCTAAGCCCTTGGTTTTCGACGCTTCGATTTCACGCCTTTTCCCTGTCGTATCAATCACGTTCACTCGAGCACACCCTTCAGGTTGACATTTTCTATGTTTCACATTCCAAGAGAGTCCGCGTACACCAATTTCGCTACTAACGGTTTCGGATAGATTTGTATTAATTCCAACTTTGGATAAACCAGAAGCGATTCATTCCTAAATTCATATGGAACAGCCAATAGCAGCGTTGAAATCAGTTTTCAATTAAGTACAATTTCTTCTGTTTATAACGCTAAAGTCGCTTATACAATTCAAGAAATGTTTGCAGAATAGTAACGTATTTTATAATAAATTTCATGCTTTTTTGCTATCACGAGGGTCATTGCTATTGCAAAAAGGATCCATACATATTCTGCCTTCGAGGTCACACAGTGATGGTCAATGTTAAATAAATTGTTAAAACATATATATCAATTCATGGTCATACAATTTCAATACTTACGGTTTTGCCATATATAAATCTATCTTTCAGTACTTTGATTTATGTAAACGGTAGTGTCAGCTTAGTAGGTACTCCCTTATGTATGCATCTTGTTTGATCATGACCTAGATAGGTCCGAAATTTCGTTGACAATGTACTTGCTTTTGTAATAATTGCATTTTATCTTATTGATTCAAAAATGAAGTAGATATTTCTGAATTCTTTGTGCACAAGTTTCTGCATCTATTATTTATACTAAACAATTAAAATATAAACTGAGAGACAACTCGGTTTTGTAATCGACTGTAAAAGTCTATGTAAAGTTACTGAATCTCGTATCAAATCAAAAATATATATACAGTTATGAGTTAATAATTGTATATCAATAATATTTTATTATATAAACACCTATTAACTAGAGAAAAGAAGATTTATTTTTGTTTGGATGGAGATTCGCCCATCGTAAATTTGTTTTCGAGCACACTGTTGTTTTGATTTAGGTAAGAAATTACAAAAAATAAATTTGCTGTAATAATTATATAACTTTATTTTTAACTAAAATTGACGAAAACAATACTAAAATTAAATTAGTAAACAACGGTGTTTGGGTTATAGCAATCTCGAAAAAAATGATTAAATTATTAAAATTAACAGTTTCAACTGTATTTCTTTAAGGTAGATAGATATACTTCCTATAAATTCTATTCAAAAGAGCAATAACTACCTATTTTTATTATAATGTGTGAAATTTTGTCTAGTACATGCAATTTTTATTAATAATGAATCAAATTCTTGGGTAAAATGCATAAATTCCAGCTACTTAGTCGGTACTTAATTATAGTATGTGTAGTCTACAAACGCACGTGAAAATGCTAACATAGCCAATAAAATCTGCACATCCAGGGAATATACGCACCTACTAGGCAAAATCTTCAGGAAATTCAGCATTTTATAATAATTAATCGAAAACTATTAACATTATAATTGATTGATAGTGAAAAACAGTCGATTTAAAAAATCTGTAGGTTATGTGGGTTATTAACATTAAATTACCATCGATATTTAAAATATTTAAAAAAATTGGCGAGCCATATAATTGTTGAATTTTCTGCAACTAACACCAGAGGAATACTTCTAGTGAATAAATAAAAAAAAATAGTGAATTGTGGTCTAATTAATTTAATAAAATATGAAATAAAACGTTACGTTGAAGAATGCTAGACTCTTGCGGGCGTTTGATGAAATAGTGTGTACCGCTTTAAGCTAGGTAGCCTAGGTAGGTAGTACGATAAACGATAGAATGTTTACCTAACGACGCTTAAGCGTAAGGGGGCTCGCTTAGTAATATAACATGTAGCGGGGGCGTCGTAAGCCAATGTGCAAATCACTGCAGCACCCCCAGGTGGGGCGAGGGCATAGAGAAGGGGGCCTCCATTGGTTGTCGCTTACCAAGACTAGTGGCCGTCCGTAGCCCATCATATAGAGGGTAGCGGTGTGACTACTCACATTGACCAGTTGTATCTCTGCGGATATGATCGCGCTCGTTGTGCTGTGTCTCGTGCTCTTCGCGTGCTGGTTCAGCAGAAGGAACCGCAAAGATTTTTTAAATTATCCCCCAGGACCCAAACCTTGGCCGATAATTGGCAGCCTTCATCTGCTCGGACAGCACAGAACCCCGTTCGAAGCGTTCACAGCCCTTAGCAAAATTTACGGGAATATCTATAGCATCAATCTTGGTTCCACGCCATGCGTTGTCGTTAATAATTTTGAACTGATTAAAGAAGTGCTAATTTCAAAAGGTGGAGATTTCGACGCTAGACCAGACTTTATCAGATTTCATAAATTATTCGGTGGAAACAGGAATAACTGTAAGTATCAATGAAGATCATTTTTATTTTACTCCGAAGCTCGTCAAAATTGACTACAGAGCGGAGCATCCGGATTCAATTTATTAATTTAGTTCTCCTAAAAACAATTAAGATGTAAATATATATAATTACCTTGTAAATATTTGGTACTTTTGTAAATAATATACATATATCTATAACAATATATTGTAAATATTATTTAATATTACAGATTAACCAAAAAAATATAATACATATGTATTGTATAAATAATTAAAATTTTATGAATGAGTGAACATAGGAAAACTTAATTAATACTTTGAGAAAATCAAATTAATTGTTTATAATGAATTAATTTGATTTGTTTTAATATGGATGCTTTGGACATTACCTACTTTGATTCGTTCTTAATGCAGTAAGATACATATTAGCAAAATTAATAATTACGCATAGATACGTTGATTGAACTGATTAATCAGAATTGAAAACATAAAAAAGAAAAATAGGATAAAATTGAAACTAGTTGAATGCGGACGGGGCTTAAAGTGTTTGGTATTTTAATTACGAGTTGTGAAAGCCTGAGTCCCGTTAATTTAGCATTCCTAGCAAAAAGTGGAAAGAGACGATTTGCCGGCATTGATGTACACTCACTTATTCAGTTAGCGCATACCTCGCGTATTGGTTTTGAGTTTAAGAGGTCGAGTAAGTTTTTTACTCGCTACTTTACTTTCTATCATACACCACGGCACCTGGTTCATTCATAAGATTGCTTCATTACGTACTCGACTACCGTGAACTTGAACTTGCTTCTAATGAAACTGAATCTGATCACCACAACAAACAACTGCTGTATTATTTATTTCTTTAGATTTATCACAATTCTAACCGCACGCTCGCACAATTAACACTCGGATTTCGCATTCATTTATGCGGATATTTGGAATTGATTAACAGATCCCGCTTTGCCTTCGGCAAGGCGCTAAAATTTTGCATAGCGAACACGTCGGGGCGATGCTAAATACGCGAAACGGTCCTGTACACAAACGACGAGATGAGATTTGTTAAGTGGAAAAAGGAGTTGCTTATGTTAGTTCCATGATAGCCAGACTGCATGGTTTGTGTTGCACAGGTGTACTACGTATTTAGTCCGGCGACAAATAGTTGTTTGAAAGGTACCCGGAAATTTTATCGCATTTTTGCGAATTATTAATATTGCTTCGCTTTTACTCACAATCATTTCCATTTTGCTCAACTAATTAAAAATATAATTTCTTTCCTTTTAAACTGGTTTGTTTTTCAAGGAATTAAATTCACCCCCTCGCAAATTAAAATCAAATCACATTTGCAAATTTTGCTCAAAGGAAGATTTAAAATTTAATCTCGGTGACTTCCCAATTAATTAAATAACTAAATTGGGTTATTTATATTTAAAATGAGTTAATAACTGCATAGAACTAATAAAGGAATTTAATAATTTTATAATGTCTACAAAATTTATTAACAAGAGCTGTTGAAATAACTATTAGATATTTATTACTACTGATTACTAAAAAGACTGTCGAAGCACCGGTACTATAATTCCTTATACAAAAAAGGTTTGGTCACGCGTCTCATTGTCGGTAAGAAGTGTTTATACGTTCCCAGAAAGAATCTTCACATAACTTAAGCCTAAATCACACAAACAGCTATTTGCTAAAATGTATCTGCTACCTTAATTTTTTTAAATTTATTGTAAAAATAAATTGGAATTTTTTTGCAGCTTTGGCTTTGTGCGATTGGTCCGATCTTCAGAAAACCCGCAGGAGCATCGCCCGAACGTACTGCTCTCCAAGATTTACCTCCCTGCAATACGACATCGTTGCCAACGTGGGTACCGATGAAATATCGGCCTTTTTACAAGAAGTGGAAAAACTTCCAGTTAACGCGCCCGTCGATATAAAACCTCTAGTCTTGGCAGCGTGCGCTAACATGTTTACGCAATACATGTGTTCGACATCTTTTTCTTACGACGATAAAGAATTCCAGAAAGTTGTTAGGTATTTCGATGAAATATTTTGGGAAATCAACCAAGGATACGCGGTGGATTTTCTTCCCTGGTTGCTGCCTTTCTACAAAAATCACATGAAGAAAATTTCGCACTGGTCCACGGAAATTCGTCAATTCATATTGAGCCGAATTATTGATAACCATAGGGCGACATTAGATTACAATTCACCGCCAAGAGATTTCACTGATGCATTATTAATGCATCTGGAAGACGATCCCAACATGAACTGGCAACATATTATATTTGAACTGGAAGACTTTATCGGCGGCCATTCGGCTATTGGAAATTTATTAATGATGACCTTAGTGTCGATTATTCAACATCCTAATGTAGCTCAGCGCATTCAACAAGAGGTAGATGAGATAACGGGCAACACGAGAGCTCCAAGCTTACTGGATAAATCAATGATGCCGTACACAGAAGCTGTGATTTGGGAAACATTAAGAAAAGCATCATCTCCAATTGTACCTCACGTCGCTAGTACAGACACTGAATTATTCGGTTACAATATTCCTAAAGGAACAATGATTTTTATTAACAACTACGATCTTAACGTGAGCAATGATTACTGGGAGAATCCCGATCAATTTTTGCCAGAAAGATTCCTTTCTCCTTCTGGCAACGTAGTAAAGCCCAACCATTTTATACCGTTCAGTACAGGAAAAAGAACTTGTATAGGACAAAGGTTAGTCCAATGCTTTACTTTCATTATTCTGGCTACACTACTGCAGAAATACGATATTACAGCTGGAGGGGAAATTGAAATAAAACCTGGATGTGTAGCGGTACCTCCCGACTGTTTTAAGGTGATCCTGAGTCCAAGATCTTCTTGAAAATTACGGAAGAGTATCTATTTATGGTTTCTAATAAGTCTGTTCTCTCAGCAGTTAAACTGCCTTTTGTTCCCGATCGAGATGATGATATAGTCACAGCACTGCATGTATATTACCTCTTTGTGCTTACAAAGCACACAGGCTCTACATGGCCTTCATCTACTGGCTGAATACTGGCTGAAGACGAAGCCGTCCGGCTCCGTGCCAAACATCACCGCCTTTTATTATTATTTCTATCAATTATTCATTGTTTTTCCTTCATTGTATATATACATCATGTGAATTTATTGTAAATTTTATCATGTAGTCTCTCCAGTGTTTAGTCTTTTAATGAGACTGAATAAATTGTGTATTTTTATTACGAACTTAAAGTGTATTATTTTTCATATTTTTATAATTATTCATCTTATTTCAAAAACTTCAATATTATAATAATATTTAAGTTTATCTAAACCAAATGAAATCCTTTTTCAGGTGTATTGCATTCTTAGCAAGTTGTTTTACAATACATTAATATATTATTAATTTAAATTTATTGTTCTTATTAATTTATATTTAAGAGTTGTTTTATAATTAATTTCAAAGAGAAATTAAGTACTTATACAATTATGAAAATGATTAAATGTTTAAATATACTTTCTGATGTTTTGATTAGAATAAAATTATTGTTTAGTATATTTAGTAAGAAGCAATTGTATGAAATAAAGATGATGAAATAAATTAAAATAAAAAGTTCTTTTTTCGTTAGAAATTATTGTAATCTTAAGAGTTTTATTTTTATATCATTCCTTATTTTTGTCTAAAAAATAAATTTATTTAATTATCATTTCAATTTGTTTTAAATTTAATTCTAAGAATAGGTAAACTTTTATACCCTAAATTAATTAAACAATTAATGAAGTTCTTATAAATAATTGAACTTTTAAAATCAAAATATTGTGAGGTCAAATTTGTCAAAATAATTCGTTTCACAGTAATTAATTACACTTTTTTACAACCTCACGCTCGTTCTGTTAATATGAAAATGTTTAATATTGGCATACGAGTGTCCGTGATAAGTAATTTACTTTCTAATGTTGGTAAAAAAATGGACACGAAACCACGACTTGTTATTTAAACAATATTTTAGTGAAAGATCACAAACATGACCTAGGTCATATGGTTATATGTTGAGATGAAAAAAAAATTATTAATGACTATTTTTAATTAGTTGGTTTTATTAACTACCATTAGAAGGACAACATTTTTAAAAGGATTAAAAATAAGGGGTAATTAAAAATTACTCTAATAAAAATTGTATTATGTATTAGGTACTTTAAAATTAACCAAATAATAATGAGAAATATTTCTTATTCGATTGGCAGTACTCACTCGTAAATCAAAAATTAATAAAGGTGGATGCGCAAATTCCAATTGAAAATATAAGCAATAAGGCAAAAATTGATGGCATTCAACGGTCTGATTAAAAAAAACGTAATATACACGATTTCTGTTGAGTGATCCAACCTTCCCTATTTTAATGTCCCAACTATCGACAAAAAAAACTAATATAAATTCCAGCTTTTCTTACTTTAACGATACCGGTGCATCTCAATACGGTTTTTCTCAAAAATCTTTATCAATTTCAGCGTTGTGAAAAATTATTAGCAGGTATGCAGGTTCATAACTGCTTCCTTCTCAAATATTGCTGCTTTATAAAAATTTGCAGTACATATTTTCCACTCGAATTGTTCAAAATAGGCGATTCGCAAATTGTCCAAGTTTAATTTAGGTGCATCTACGGAAATCCACAGACTCCGGCAAAAATTCGCAACCATTAAATTCAATGTCAAAGCCAAGAAAGCTGTTATATAATCCATACGAATTGAAATATTATATAATAACAATTATTTTACGTGTCAATTCAGTGGCATTGTGACACGATTTTTTTGTACTTAATCTTTTATGGCATTGCGTACGTGAGTAATTTCTTCTGATGCAGTTTTGTTTAATGCAGATTTAAGATAAACGCTACCCTTGAAATATTGCAACTTATTTTTTGTTCCTACTAAAAGAATTGATGACTTTGTCAAATAAGTATACAGTGGTACTTAAAATTTATATATGCAGGTGGATTTTGAGCTGGATCTTCATATTGGCTTAGTCATCTAACTAGGTAGTTTTAGATTTGATGCTCCTGAATCTAACCATTAATTTTTCATCAATCGCCTATTAGAAGGAAAACCAAACGGATAGGATAGATAATGGTGATTGATGGATGGCATTGTATTGTACATAGACAAGACAAGAAGTTGTATCAGTCTGGCTAATGCATCTGGCTCACCTTGCACTGACATTGAATAGACCAACGCTGTCTGCACTCATGATCAGATTTATTACTTATTGTATTTGATATAGTCTTTCAAGTCGCTTCTCCCCGACTATGTAGGTCAGTGTGATGTACAATGTTGCCATTTTTACCGGCAAAAACTTCCCTGAAAACTTTGTTTTGGTTATTTTAACTAGTTATGTTATATGTGGATCCCCTATTATCGAGAGATCCATTTACACAATAAATTATGTTTTCAAAATTATATAATATAAGGAAGTAAAGGAAGAATTATATTTTACTTAAAAATATAGAGTTTATTAGTGGAAGAAGCTAGATTGTTTGTTCCCGCATTAAAAAATGAAGGGATATTTTAATTATTTTCATAAATTTTAAAAACCTATATTTTTATATTAATAGGGTTAATTGTTGATTTTAATATATTTATTCATGCTACTTTAATGAATTTATAGGTAAATAGTAAATAATTGCATATTTAATAAAATACTGTTCGGAAACGCTACTGATTTGAAAAATCAATAATTTAAAATTAACTGCGATTTGTAACTGGGAAAAATTGTATATGCAACCAGTTTAACATATCCAAATATCCATCTACATGCAGTAAATAACATTAAACCAGTAAAACTTCTTGATAAATTTCAAGTATTTCAACATAAAAAGCAAGTACATTTTATAAAGTCATTTCCACCAGCAGGAAGGTACATATTAGGGAAACAATGAATAAATATTTCACCAGGTAAGTACATACATTTAAAATTTGAATTCGTTAAAGTACAGATATATTAATATGTTTCAGTAACAGAAATGATTCAAAAATAACAGTGTTAAATGGACTACAGAACAGTATTCGACAATACTTTATCTTCCCTGAACACACTTTAAGGAACTTCGAAGCAAACATCGATGAAATCGTTAAAAAAGCGAAGAATGGACAATTAAAAGAACTCACTGTTGATGATAAACCTCTCAGAACAAAGTACGTATAGCACCTGTATTATGTCCACTTTAGAACATATTTCTTAATTAGATATTTCTTCGGTGAGCGGTACACTTACGGTCATCCAGAAAATAGCTTAGGATCAGAAAGGCTCTATCCAGAAGGATCTGTAGACGTGATTCCTAGCTGGATAGCCCACAATATAATAAAACCGCTTGTTGAAGTGAACATTCTACCTGAAAACTTCGTCAACAGCGTGGTCATCAACGATTACAAACCAAGAGGTTGCATTGTATCTCACATTGATCCTCCGCAAATTTTCGACAGACCCATCGTCTCGCTGAGTTTATTCAGCGATAGCGCGCTCAGTTTTGGTTGTAAATTTCATTACAAGCCTCTGAGAAGCTCAAAGCCTCTATTTAGATTACCCATGCCTAGAGGAGTGGTTACATCATTAAGGTAAAACCTATCCTAACGTTCAATGAACTATATAAAACGTGATTTTGTTGTTTAGTGGATTTGCTGCGAATGAAATAACACATTGTGTAAGACCAGAAGACGTGACTCAAAGGCGTACAGTGATAATGCTCCGCAGAGTGCACGATTTCGCTCCTCGTTTGTCTCCTCTCACAGGGAATCTGCTCCATATTACTAGCAATGAAGTCTTGAAAATTCGTAAGGCTCTAATGCAGAAATGTATCGACTCCTGCAGGTCTACAAAAGGAAAAATACAAAAGCCTTATAAATAATAAACCTGTTCTGTCCTAGTTGATAACTATACGCTTTAAAATTGTTAATAAACGTTATTTATAAAGAAACCAAACGTATATTGTATATTTTATTACAAAATAGTTAAACTATAAATAAATTCACGTGTAAATTTGATTGCAAAGTTAGGAAAGAACTTTAGCTCTGGAAGAGACTGCGATGTAGGCGACGAGCAGCGAAAGAATCGTAGCTATAAATTCGGATTTTAACCAAGGACCATTGTAGGCACCGGGATGTGAGAGGACAACGTTAACAAGGGCAGGTACGTTTTGAGTATCTTCTTTCGATCTACTGGCTTTCTTGTAGGTGGTGTAACCGTCTTCATCGAATAATCTGATGACTCTGTCCCCAGATTTGGCAGTCTTGGCTTCTTCAGTCCAACTTACCTAAAATATAAACATTGTTGAATACATGACTATAAATAGCAAAGGATATACGTGGGGATTACAATAAGCATTAAAGAAATCTACGGAAATCGAAACATATCTACAATTACTTGTAGAATTACGAAGAAACCCATTTCTTTCAATTTACCATATGGAGTACTTTATTATATCCACTAGCCATGATTAAACCATTTAGTAAATAAATTGCCATAACTTACTTGATATCTGTTGTTTCCTACGATGGAAACCGGCGAAATGTTTCCTTCTACTTCAGCATATAAATTTCCAGCTTTACCAGATTCACATGTTACCGAAAATTCGGAGATATACGCAATGTTAGTTACTATAGTGGCATCAACGGTAGTAAACGATGAAGAAGTTACTTTTGGATTTGAACAACCCAAGCAGAAGGTACATGAAAGTAGAGAGATGAATGCTAAGATGTATAACCTAGTCATTTTGTCTTTTCTTGTAATGTTTTATGTTAGGTCTAACTAATGGTGTCAGTGCAGCGCTTATATTAACTTGAAACTAAAACAGCCACGTAAAAATTTGAACTTATGTTGTTGGAATAATTTTTTGGTTATATTTCTCTATGTTCGATAACTGCACCATACAACACTGTTCGATAAAGACAACTAAATAATATGAGTCAAACAAAGATGGAATGACTAGAACTGCTCCGAGTACCTGCAACACACAGACTCGACTTTACGACAACGTGGAACACGTCGTATCATTACAATACTACCAACATTAACTGTAGTGTTAAGTAAAAAGAAGAAGGAATACCAATTTTTAAATATTGAGTATGCCAAATATTTTCAACTATATTCTGTGGTTCATAAAGTTAAGGGCAATTTTATTCCGTGTTTTAACTTATTTCAGTAGATAAACGTAGTTTTATCGGTTTTTATACCTACTACCAAAAGAACGAACGACAATTGACAGATACACATGAGTTAAAAAAGAAAATGAAATAAATGTTCTTGTTCTGTTAGAATTTAGTCAGGCGATTTTGAACCTTATGATTCTATCTAATTTGTATGTTCCTCCCTGTATATTCACTAATTATCTGAAAATGCCTTTACAGCGCCATCTAGAGAAGCTTAATATTTGAAACAGTGAAAACAGTCATTTAAATTATTATTAAACTTCATTTCTACGTCCGTTTTTGGTAAGTAATTATATTTTTATACAATACAATTATTCAGGATTTTAGAAATGAAACAAAGACAATATCAATTACAATATAATGTATAAAATGTCAGTTTCTGTAAATATATTCATTTTTAAATGCATGATATATAAATATTTGGAAATTACAAATAATACTTTATGAAATAAATAAAACATTTTTAACATATAAATTGATCGTAAAACTCTCGTAAATATTAAAGTTTTTTTCCTATTGTCTGCACATGATATCCCATATTGATGAGTGCTTGATGGTCCAAAATCTTCCTTCCATCGAATATATAAGCCGGTTTCATCATATTCCCGTAGATTTTCTTGTAATCCAGGTGCTGTAACAAGCCAAGTTTAATAGTTTTTGAATAATATAAAGCGTACGTTTGTAACTCACGATGAATTCATCCCATTCGGTGCAGACCACAATAGCATGGCATCCGTTCGAAGCCGCATAAGGATCAGTATAAATCGCAATGCGCTTTCTAAAATCTTCGGGATTTTCGCAAACATAAGGATTAGTCAAATCTTCATCAATTTGCTCCTTGTCAACTTTAGGGTCGTAAATCTTTATCGATGCCCCTTCGTCCAGCAAAGTCTTGGCAACATGTATGGCAGGGCTTTCCCTTGTATCCCCGGTGTTCTTCTTAAAAGCGAACCCCAGTATACAAATCTTCTTTCCGCTCAGAGTATTGAAGCACGATTCAACAATTTTCGTGGTGAAACGATGCTTTTGATACTCATTCATATCAATGACTTGCTGCCAATAAGCAGCTACTTCCGGCAAATTCAAGCATTCACAAATGTAGACGAGGTTTAATATATCTTTTTGGAAACAACTTCCACCAAATCCTAAAACGAAAAGCTTATAATTGATGTTTTAATCGAATTAACTTCGATGTTCTCACCTACGGAAGATTGCAAAAATTTTGAACCTATTCTAGAGTCCAATCCAACAGCTCTTGCTACCTCAGAAACATCAGCTCCGGTTGCCTCGCATACGGCAGATAATGAATTGATACTGGATATTCTTTGAGCTAGCATAGCATTAGCAGCCTAAATCAAATAATTATAAAGCATTATTTTGATATGCAATTGACTAAGTGTTAGGGCTTACAAGTTTAGATAACTCTGAAGACCAAGTGTTCATGGTTACAATCTTTGTTCGTGGTATCCAGTGCTCGTAAATACTGCATAATTCCTCGACGGCAGCTCTTCCTTCTTTTGTATCTTCACCTCCAATCAAAACTCTATCAGCACTAAGTAGATCAGTTACTGCTGTGCCTGAAAACCATACACAATTCTATTATTTATGGTTGAACTGAGCAAACTACATGTTCATACCTTCTGCTAGGAACTCGGGATTTGATAGTATTTGATATGTAACACCAGGTTTTTGGTTAGCAATTAATATGTTTGCTATGCTTTCTGCAGCTCTTACAGGAACTGTACTTTTTTCGACTACTATTTTGTTACTTTGGGCTACATCAGCTATAAGTCTAGCTGCTGATTCGACGTATTTGAGATCAGCTGCTCTACCCTAAACGGGAAAATATTGTTTTTTAGAGATTTTATTAATGAAGCTGTTCTTTTGGTTTGTTGATAACTTACCTTTCCGTTTCCAGTAATTTTTGTAGGCGTGTTGACTGATATAAAAATCAAATCTGCTTCTAGAATGGAACCAGAAATATCGTTGGAAAAAAACAAATTTCTTCCTCTGCATGTCTTCACTACTTCATCTAATCCAGGCTAAAACAATGTATTGGATAGAACTCTATTATATTGAATAAAACAAGGCGATTTGGGTACCTCATAAATGGGTAGTTTATCTGAGTTCCACTGAGCAATTCTTTCTTTGCTGAGATCGGCGACGGTTACTTTAATTTCCGGGCATTTTAATGCAATAACGCTGCATGTAGGACCTCCAACATAGCCAGCCCCCAGACAACAAATATTTTTTATCGTCATTTTTGCCTTATTCTGAAATATTTAATTTTTTGTAGACAAATGAAATGCAGAAACAACAAAGACATTTTATTAAAAATGTTGAATATGAACAGAATTTTCTAACTACATAAGCCACGTGTTTAATTAGTAATATTTCGCGATTTCTTCAAGGTAGTATGGTCGAATTCGTCATGATATCGTCATTTTATTTGAGAGAATGAATCTTGTTCTTGAAATTGATGGTCTAATAGTGTTGTAGTAATAATGGCCTGTGTACAGCTATTTTAACGAATTTCTTACTGTAACCTTGAATCTTTGAATGGTTTTTATCAGGCAAACTTATGCACACAGAAGTTAACAAAATATCTATTGTTTAATATAGTTTCAAAATTAAATAATCTTATCAAAATAATTAATAATTAAATAAACTAATTGATACTTAAATTTTTAAAGTTTATCTCTAAACGAATATACGAAAGTGAGAAATATAATTAATTATTTTAACGTTTATTTTAATTAGTAGTATTATTTTAAGTATTAGTAATTATTTTTTAGTAATAAATTTTTGTAATACTTACATGCAGCGGTCTTATCACAGGTTTAAAAATACGTTTAAAATACTGGTTAAATCTATTAAATTCGACAACGTGAATGCACTAAACCATCACCTGAAATCCGTACCTATCAATTAAATATTATTTTAACATCCCCTCTGCCGCCAAAGATACTCTTGAAGGTTTTCGAGTGAATAGCGAGCGCGAATAAGACCATTCAACTTAGAACTTGAATGGTTTTTATCAAATCGGCATCCGGTATTTTTGGCTACAGAGACGAAGATTTCCAGGAAGGACTGATGAATAAAAACTATACCCAAGTTGGCCTGTTGACGGAAAACTGATACGTTTGAACATTGATAGCTATCTTAAACTAACGTAAACGTGAAGTCGTAAAATATTAAATAAATCCTTTAAATGCTATTAATCCTATTATTAAATAAATTGCGACAAATCTACTTACTTACGAGATAAGTTTGCCGGATCTGTGGTCCTTCTTTCAGTTAGCTTCCACCGGTAATAAAATTTTAACCAGTGGATGAATCAATATTTACATTTGTGAACCTTTTGAATATTTTTTTAAAAACCAACCATGTTTACGTATACATGTATATCACAGTTATCAGCTGTCATTTTTGCAACGTGTGTTACTTGGTAACCGGCCGACGGTCACGCCCTCTGTTTGCTGTAAACATCTCGAAATGTTTTTGTTTTATTTGCTTTTTTGTTTTGTTAATTCATTTCAATTCCTTCTTAAAGTCACGTATGTTTGTTCGGCAAATGTGAACTTTTAAGGTTTTTTTGTTGTTGTTTATTTCGGACATCTGTCGAGTGATTGGAGCATTAATTCAGGCTAAATCGCAGGTTTCTTTTGTGACATATTTCTGGATCAATATTTTCTGATATCACTGCTACTACTAGTTAAGAGGAGATGTTATTTCTGTCATTTCTGAATTTGTATGTTCCGTGTCATTAATGACACTTGGTCCTTTGTTTTGAGGGTTAGGAGCGACTTTTTAAATTCAGCGCGCCATAGACAAAATAAAAGTATAATAAATATAGTATAAAGTATAAATAATCATTCTTTCTCTATGTTCAGCGCCTCATCGAGCAAATGTTTTTTATAGTTTTAGGCAGTTAAATAGTTTGATTTTAAAAACACCCAGAAAGACAAAATTAATTCGAGGAATAATAAATTAATAAAAGTATAATAATTAATTTTAATTAATTATAGTAATAAAATAGTATATTTAATTTTAAGAATAATAACAAACATCACGCCATTTATTAATTAAAATAATAATATGAAGTATACCTATCAGCTAAACATGTTTTGTTATTCTTAAAAATTCTATTAAATTGTGTTACCTACACTTCTTGTAAAATAAGTGCCCAAGTTATATAGATAATTCAAATTGCAATTTTCAAAAGATTCCAAAAATTTTCAAATTTGCAAAAATCTATTCTGCGTGCCAGTATTTACGATAGAACCAACATTTTTTTCTCGGCTAACATTTTATATATTTCATATACTTATAAGACAGATAACTCACCTTTATAATATTTTTACCTCAACTCCTGGAAATTAAAACGGATAAGGTCACTTCTGTTTCGTTAATACTTCTTTGTCGATGTGTTTTAATTTTTGTAATATAATTTGTCATAGTGTTGTGTAGTAAACTCTTGTGGTATTGATTATTGCCCGAAAGCCTTTATAGGAAACGGCTTTCTGAGCAACAATCAAAATCATAAAAGTTTCCAAGGGGTTTCCTTGACAACACCTGGAAAAAGATCATAATGCTTAATATGCTTATTTTTAATTTTTTTGCAAAAGATAGTTTTTCTACAAATGCAACAGTACTTGGCACGTATAGATGTAGAAAATTATACTTACTGAATTTTGATATTTTTGAATATTATTTATCAATTTATTTGGTTATAGAAACATTCATTTAATCAGTCCAACTATGTACATTTTATTCAGACTGAGATCAAATGAATGAAAGCAACTCAAAATTTTTACTGGGTACCCACTTACTTGATAAGCAATTTTCATTTAAATAAAAAACTTAATGAGAATTGAGAATCCAATCCAATATCTTAAATATTTCATAAAACTTTTAAATACATGAAAACATTCAAAATTCAGCAAATACTCAAGAATAGAAAGAATTTTTGCCTTATCCTGCATGTATTAAAAAATTACAAATTCTTGAAGCGTGATTTAATAACAGGCTCACAAAATAATAATCCCACTTTTCACGACAAATTGTTATATTTAACTTAACTTCCGTTACTGATAATTTAAATCTATGAAAATCTAAAGAGTAGGTAGAGTGTGGCTTACCTGAAAGACTTCAACAGGTGCACTACACCAGATCTAACCAAATAATGACCAACTGATCGAGGCTCACTCTAAGTTCACCACTGGACCTATGGGTGTGTGTTCAATAAAGGCATTTAGTAAATGTGGATTGTGAATGGCCGATTCCCTGTTTTGTCTGGCTAAGCTCCACCCCGATGTTTCACCTCTAAAATGGAGTTTCTGATCTTCTTAATTATTAATTACCAAAATCACACCCGTGTCAAAATATTTACCCTTTTGGCGGCCGAAGTATTTTTATTTGTTTTCCTTGATGTCAGCTGTCTTTCTGCTTATCTGCGCCACTTTGATTCTTTGAATTATTTATTGCGGGGGATGATTCTTTGCTCTTTAACATTTCGGTGCCATCCTGAAAATCTATTTTTGAATTAGATGTATGTCTGATTATTCGAAGAAAATCATCCCTTATATTTTCATTTTTTAAGGTACATATGTCACGAACCTAAGTACCTATATTTAGTTTAGTTATAATTTGCAAGTACGTAAAAAATGCTATAACTTGGTATGTTAATGCTTATAGGAGTAAATAATTTCATTTCTGCATTTTCATTGTGCATATTGTATTTTTATTTTTTATTTGTATTTTATTATGTACTTATTTAAGGATTTTTTATACCATACTATAATTTACTTTCCATGAAAAAATATGAATTAAACTTCTATTATTCTTATAGATGCTATACCGATAATATTACGTATTTAAGTCAAAATGTATTAAATGAATAATTTTTCAAATTAAAATTATTTTTTTTATAAACGTTTATGTGGATTTTTTATTAAATAGATTTCTTATTAATGCTTTAAAACTTTTCTGGGCAAGCAATTGAATTAGTACATCAAAAGATTAAATTCTTTCTAAATATTTTCTAAAATAACCTACTGCAATTTTCATGTATAATATCACATGACACACGAAAATGCGCAATTTTTAGTAACAAAATTTCATAAATTCCTACTTAATTGATAAATAAACTTAACTTAAACTTTCTTAAATTAGAAACATTTATTTAGAATTAGAAACATTTACATATTTTATAAATGATTGATTGGTATTGATGTTTTTTGCATACCCGCTTATTTTATAGTTACTTCTAACGTAGATGCATTTTTTTTCACTTATAAATGTCTTTTTAGAAACTTTTAAATCTTATATATGGAATTAGGGATCGTTCTAAAAGTGTAGCCAGAAAAAAGGAACTGCATATTTAAATTAGGAAATGACGTCTGCATAGTGCCAGTCAGCTTTTAGTTAATTTACTATTAGAAATAATTAATCGGGTTGCTTTTATTGGTCCGAAAATGCCCTGCCCATACCAATCAGAAACTGCGCTGTGCGGGCAACAACAGAATTGCATATATCGAATAAGGGTAGTTTATCAATATTGCAGATGTCGATCAATCAATTTCAAATTATTTATAGTCGGGCGTCCGAATTTTGGCAAAGCCATATACGGTGTTTTTTGGAAAATATTTTATAGGTAGGTATTTTTTTAAGGCTCTAATATGCATGTGAGATATACATAAGTGCATCTATATATCAATTATATACACTTTACATGAGCGAAATTTGTAACTTATATTACTAATTTTATTACAATTTTGAGTATAACAGAAGATTTATAAAAGTTTTTCGAAGATAGACCAAGTATAGGTACCGAATTTAGATTCAAAAGTGTTGCAAAATATACCGGTAAACAAACGTATTTTCTGTATTCTTTCAGATGATAAGCAAATAGGCGATTTATTTAATACTGATTGTTAAAAAAATAATACCATAAAAATCCCTAAATTAGTCCCTTTGATAGCAATAAAACAGCTGTAATAAAACCGAATTAACAACATTTATTTATGTTTGAATTATTTATTGCTATAGGCGGGTTTAAGGTAGTTAACTAATTTTTATCTTTCGATAATCTTCTTTGATGATTTTGGTATATTTGGAAATAATTATAAACTTCTCATTTCATATTTTATTGAGATGATAGCTGTTTTATAAACATATTTTTCCTATATAAACCGTACATCCAGCGTCGGTGGCTTTATGATTTAAAACACAAGCTTTATATTCAATGCATAAACTAATATCTTCCTTATCTAAAAAAGTAAAAACAAAATACAGAATATATTTAGCAAGTATATGCTTTTTTACTCAAAAACAAATCATTTGATGCATTATATTACTGTATTAAAAAAGCACTTACCTTTCATTTTTTGAAATCAAATATACTCTTTAGTTAAAACATTGTAAGTGCTAATTGTTTTATTGAACCTAATTCAATTATAAAAAATGGAAAAGTATCTTTCTGTAACAATTAATTGAAATCATTAACACGAGAAAAATCGAATGTTTTAGGTTAGAAAAATGTTGGATAGCAGTTGACAATGACTCCAGTTACGAAAACGTCACTGAACTAGCAAACAAATACATAAATTTGTTCATTCGTATTTATGAAAATCTACAGCTAAAAGTGTTGTAGATAAAATTAATTATATGTAAGCAGTCTTATGCCTATAGTCCAAGTCTTCAGACATTTGCCTATTAACATTTGTTTATACATTTTGTTCATGCCTAAAAACTTGTGTTTGTTGGAAAATGCACGTAAGCATGTAGGTCTAGACTGCATTATATTCAAATTTAACCAACAATATAATAATTAGGTACCGAACAAAAACAGATATTTTACATTAATATCGAATAATTTATTATCTAATAGAATTATTTTATTTATACTTAACGTTCCTTAATATTTTTTGACAAAAATGCATTTGAATAAAATACATTTTTGTTTGAAAGTTTTAGATTTATTTTTAATTTATTTCTTCTGAATTTCTTAATCCCATTCTACATTGGATAGGTCAAAAAATATATAGGAGTAATGGAAAACTGTTTTAATGCTTTTAATGATTTTAATTATTTTCCCCATATTAAGGTACATAAACCGTTATAACTCGATCGCATTTTATTTAATTTGATCGCTTGGTTTTAAGGTCCTGTAAATTAACTTATCTTAAAACCTCGAATTAATTTTAACCGTCAATGAGTTAGTTACTTACCTAATTTAAAAGCGGTTAAATAAAATCCTTAAAACACGAAAATCGCACCGCTAGTAACGAGCACAGAGAAAATATAAAATTAAGTTCTTTTAAAAATTATATACATATATTTTTTTCGAATATGGGTTAATAGAATAGATCAGGGTAGTTTCTCGCGACAAACTGAAGGGTAGTAGCGTCTGCCGACGATCGACAGTATGACAACCCATTTTTACCCATTGGTGTTTTTGATTGCAATCTTTGTTTGCAAGATCACCGTGTAGCGAATGTTCATAGCACCTGGTAATTCACCCCTCTCTTGCATCCGTTCTGTAAAAAATCCTACTTGAATAGGATATTTGGGGAGTCTTTTGTCAATGGGGTTACATAATGGAATCTGAGACGCGACCATCTACCCCTAAACTCACCCTTTTTATCGCAATGATGCTGCATCGCTTTTTATCAGGACCGAATTAAAAAACGCCAGTTTTTTATCCACACTGTAGATTTCCCTTGTTGTGAACATTTTGTTATTGGAATGTAACGATTTTTTAAATCTAATTGTTAATTTCTTATTTGGTTTGAGTGTTTAATCAACGTTTTGGTTCGAGGTTTGTATGGATGTGGAATGTGGAAAGTTTTGGTATTGATAAAAACGAAATTTTTAAATTTTATTTTGAGTAGATATAAATTTTCATTTACTCATTTGGATATTTAGAATTCTTTAGATGGCTTTAATTGTATCTTTTTTATAGAGTTAACACTATTGGTTTAATTTGCTTCAAACACTAATTAAACCTAATCGAATTGAAGCTAAGTCTAAGCTACAAATTATGCTGCATTCTTCAATTTTTATAAATCTTTATATTTTATTTATAAATCCTTTTTGGCTTTGTGTCTATATATAATTTATTTAGCCAGACTATTTTTTTCTATCTAAAATGCATCTGCATGTCCTTTTGATTGAATAACTCGTTTTGTTTATTCTTATTGTGGTCAATACAGTCTACAGTCTGAGACTCTATTGAACCCAAAAGGGGAATAAGTCCTGACTTTACCCAATTACAGGTTTAAATTTTATTATATGAACCAGTTTTTTAAACCAGTCTGTTCCATTCCCAAACGCTTTAAAATGTCGTTTGTTCCTACTATTGAATTTATATGTATTCCAAAACGTTTTTTTTATTTTTATAAACTACTATCGTGAAGGGTAGTTTAAATGATTACAAAAAAATCCATAATAATTCAATATATTTTGCAATAGGGTTCAAATCGAGCCAATTACGGTACTTATTAAATACGGTTCTGCATTTCCTACCTCAACCGTTAACCAACAGAGAAACGGAATGTAAGTACAATACCTATGTCGCGCCGTCTGTCTTTTCTAAAACATCCCCTGACCCCAATTTGATTGCATGTCTCCCTCCTTGTTCACGGATTTTTTAGACCAAAACCTTAAACGACCTTCAGGAATATGCTGCCTATGTGAATACGTACCCAAGCCAATTTTAAATTCGTAAAAAATGCTAGTTTTTATGTGGCGTTAAAATAAGAGAATTTCTAAAATCGTTTCTCCGATTATGGAAGCTTTTACAGCATTTGTTGAATAAAATGCGGAAAAACTTCATTAGCACAAAATATAGTCGATTGTCAGAATGCTTTTAGTTGAATTAAATTTAATGTATTTTGTGAAATTCGCTCGAATAAATTTGAATAAAATTTCATACAAATATAGTTACATACGGACATCTATTATTTTACATAAATGTCTTAATTGTCTAACAAAGCAAATCAATTAACCATACATATATGCAGAATCGACGTAATGTGCATAGCGGCCTCTCAATGATGTCCCTTGACAGGTTTAATTGCTAGATTCATGAATAATAAAACCGTTGAAAAGCAATATCAAGTCGCTTGTCACAGGTATATGCATTAAATATAGCCTTTTAGAATTCCACTGACTTTTGATTCACGCCATGGCCGTGGTTTCAAGCATTTGTCGTTTTTCATTATCCATATTTAAATTCCCAATATTCGACCCAAAACCGCCAATAGATATCGACTTTTGCCTATATATTTTATAGGATAAACACAAATGTACTTTAAATGATACACATGTCGTAACATGCTTGCGAAATAATTAATAGGCTTCGCATTATTGCTATTCTTATTTTTTCCAGACCCGAGGATTTTAAATAAAAGAAAGTCGTAAATTAAAAACGTGTATTTAGAATAAATAGAGGTATTTTATATATCTATATTTTGTATTTTGGCACAGACATTCATTGTATAAAGTAATCTGTATTAACAATCTCAAATCAAACATTAATAAGGTTTAGAATATGAGGCACCAACTATTTAAAAAAGGTACATAAAATGGAATGAGTTAAAAGATAGAACTAAATAAGGAAGTCTCGCTTCATTCTCGATGCATTTTTGTTACCAGATTCGTACTGAGTACTGCTTCTCACCAGTTTCGTTTTACCAGACCGCTGAAAAAGAACAAAAATAGATTGCAATCATTTGTCGCTATTTTCTTACACTATAATATCTACCTTACATTAATCGAGGTGCATTTTATAAATTTTCTAAACCTTTTATTAGTAAGCGTTGTTTGCGAAAATAATAAATCACACAAAAGCAATTTACCTACGCTAAGAATTGTTAATGATAGGTTACAAGCATTTATGCATGGAAAAGAGAACTAATTCAAACTGATAACCTTATAAAATGGATAAATTATTTCTTGTAAGCAAATTTAATTGAATTCTAATTGGATTTATCCCAGTACATACATTCCTTAATGATGAATGGTACTGTCATTTAATCAACTGCATAGCATCTAATATTACTTTAGTATAATGAGCCAGATAAACAAAATTGGTATTGGTATTCAGACTAGTGTTCCAATCTAGAATGTATTTCACCTATCATCTAAATGATCGCAATGAAAGGAAAAAAATAAGCAAGAGTAAAAGCAATTATGTTAGATTGAGTGTAGCAAATTAAGCGTGACGAATATTGCTGTACAGACGATCATAATCCTATACATACATACATACTAACACAAGCGTCCATTATAATGAAGAATCTGTTTAAAGATCTAAAAAGAAAAGTAATTGTGCGAAATTGCTACATTTTACGTGATCCACTCCTTACAACTCCACTTAGTAACCATGTTTTTACTGTATGATTGAAAGTTTAATTTAGTGGGTACTGTGATAAAAGAGTGTTTTTAGCTTGTAATAAAGTGAGTAGTATTAAATTTGCTCCATACATTTTGAGATTAAAAATCCCGCATGCATTGCAAAATAACCCAAATTTTACGTAGGTAAGTGTACGGTCTTTTTTAAATAAATTAGTAGATAATTGAATTTTTCGGAATAATCAATGTACCCTGTTTTATTCGAGCAAAGTATATCGTTGGATCGGCGTTGGAGCCATGGCCGTTTTTATTAAAAATTTGTTGCTAAATGGAGAGCAAGTTGAAAACGGCAAACACTGATAGAAACAATTCATTCCATCACCTCTAGTTCCCATACCACCAAACCCGCACAATATTGTCTCAATGATGTAACGTACAATTCGTTTGTCTTTATCTTTGCTCAAGTCTCTTCGGATTTGGGCGTTCTTTTGAGCTTCGCGCGCTTGTTCCGCTAAGTAATCTGGCACCGACCACAGTTTATCACCAGCCTTTAACATAGTTTCCACTATACAGCAACAAACTGCAGCATCTTTGATTTGTTTCGTTAAATCTTCTTTCGATAAATGTTTTAATATTAACTTATTGTTATCCCTAAAATAATAACGAATTGTTAATTTCAACAGGACTGTGCTTTATGAAGTTCATGTGAATGTAAAAAATTTTGGCAGGCCAATAAAAATATATCTTGCCCAAAATTGTTACAAACTATTTTGAACCAAGTTGATTACGTACTTAGGTAATAGCAGTCTTGGAGGAAATAATGAAGGTGCTGTAATCATAGCCACGTTATGAAGATTCATTCGATTGAATTTTTCGTTGTTCACAACATTCAAAAAAAATTCTAATAGTAATCGATAGGTATTCCTGTGTTCTATCGGTAACATTAGTACCAATAAGTTTAAAGCTTTCACTTTATCGTCGATGTTTGTAATTACTGCAAAATGAATAAGATTATTAAAATCCAGGTGCACATTATCGTAGATGTGGCATACTTACAGCTGGTTTTATAAAACATTTCGAATAACTCCATGGTAAAAATCGGTTCAGGCAAATCTCTTAGTAGTTTTTTTAACACACCAGTTAATTCGTGTACGGTGGCGTTGGTAAGCAGGTTGTCCACTTCTTTCCTATTATTATAAAATTTGGTTTCTATTTCGTTGTAAATCATTTCAAGTTTCTGCTTTTGACCGGCAATACGAAGTATTCCATCTTCTTTGATACATCTCGTATTCAGTTCGTTGATTACAGTCTGAAATATTTCAGGGACCATCGAATTATCTGTTGGTCTAGGCATATCACGCATCACTAGGGTAGAAAGGTTTACCCCAAATACGTTTCCTCCTAAAGAGAAATTAAAATTAGTTATTGTTAAAAAAAACGTTTAAAAAAACTCACCTTTATTTTTACTGGGTTTTCTTTTTAGGTAGCTCTTCACAATTTTGTATTGATCAAAAATTGCTACTATTTCCATATATAAAAGAGGTTTCAAATACTGGTATTCGCCATCACTTAATTGGTCAATGCATACACCATCATTACCGCACTTCTAGAGAAAAGTTAATTAGTTGAATACATAATAAATATTCAATAAATATACCTCACTGATAATCTTATCATCGTTTTTGTTTTCTTTCAAAATACCTTCAAAACTGACGCCTTCACTTTCGCTATTTTCGGCATTAGAAATGTAGATTTTACTCGATTTATTTTTCGGAGAAATACTAGTGTGACTTCGTGACAATTGGTTGTGAAGATTTGACGATTTAGTCCTGAAATACGACAAAAACATTAAACAAGCCACAAGCCAGAGTGAAAATACAGCGACCAAAATAGCGGCAATTATTGTCTGATTATTATTGAAATATTTCGATGCAATTCCGCGTTTAACTAATTCGTTTGAAATTGACAGTAATGCAGGAATGCCAATTTTATTATGTTGATAAATGTTTAATTTATTACTAAGTGTTTTGTAGATGTTTTCTATTTCTATTTTTCTAATACTTCCAGGACTTTACAAAAAAAAAACTAAAAGATCTTACCTAGCTATTTCGTCAGAGTTGCGATTTTTCAAAGGTTGCAAATGAATTTCGGTAGTCGGATCGCTTCCACTTCGTTCTCTGGGTTGCTTGGGTAACGTTCCATTTTCAGTAAGAACTTGGTAACCTTTCAGTATTACATTTTCTGAGCCCGAATGAGCGACATCGCCTCTATCACCTCTGTATTTTCTGTGCTGCCACGGTTCGCTATTTGTCCATTTTATTTTCGTTTTAACGCCAGGTTGTTGAATATCTAATGAACTACATTTAAAGCTTATTAATAATCAAACAAATTGTGATGTAACGGAGAACAAACAATTAATACGTAATAAGTTGATTCGGTTGTTTTAATGTTTCAATGGTTGGCTTATGAAATGCATTTAGGAGTATTCAATGACTTATTAATGTAAAAATAATATTATCAATGTGATTATTCAAATTAAAAGATAGTTTGGTATTTTCCTGTTAATGTTTGAATTGTTTTGCGTTATCGCTTTGATTAAAAAAATTAACAGGAAGTCGAACATAATTTACCAATGCTACATTACAAGTTGATAGTGAAATGATATTCAGTCGGAAGTAAACTTGTACTTAAAATTCAATTTTTTACGTCACAAGTCATAAAATATTAATTATTATTGTATCTAATAACACCTAATAACGTCCACACATGTATGAATAAAGCAGCAAAACTGGTACATACAGGTTATTAATCATTCCTCATTTTACGCACGAGTAAATTTAAGAGGCAATATTAGATTATTTTTTTATCCAACAAAAAATATAAAATTAAACTTATACCTATTTTATTAGTCCTAAAAATACGCGTTCTAAAAGGTTATTTTTTATTCGTCTTCGAATTTGAATGTATTGAAAAATAGTTTGAATACTTTGAAATAATAATACATTCTATATTATTTCAATAATGTTAATAATGCATCGCCATTCAATAAAAAGTAGTCAACCTATTCGCGTTGAAATGTTCATTGGAATGCTCCCAACTTGTTATATTTGCCGATTTAAAAATTCTGTTAAATATTAATGAAATAAAAAGAGCCTTACAAGGGATTCAGTGAATTTAATTGCTGATCTTCATCCGAAGTAAGTTCATCATTTAGAGCATCAAGAGAATCTAGGGAATCAGGTGTAGCAGAACGAGAACGAGTCCCTGTACTTGAAGTCTGGAAAAATAATTTAAAATATGTTCACTATACTGTTGATAACATTTCTTGTTATAACTTTTTACAAGTATGTTAAAAAATGGATAACAAATATATTTTGATTTTCGAAATAAAAGCGTTGGCTTAGATTGATTGAGTTTTATTTTTTTACCATGGCTTTCGTGGAATAACAAGTGCGAACTTACCTTTGCGGTAAAGCAAAATATCATGTCACACAAACCGTGCAGGCATTATTTACATCGTAAGGCGTAATGCGTATTCTATTTACTATTTTTAAAAATGAAACGAAATGCATTAAGAAAGCCATTAAAACTGACATTTTTATCGTTTTGTCGTTCGTCTATCTCCAAAATTAAAAATATAACAAAAAACACCTGCTGAAGAATTTGGTTTTGATTTCGTTTAAAAATATGTAAATAATATTACCCATTGTAGATTTCTGTATACAGACTTTTAAAACACGAGTAGGCAACATTGTAAAGAACATATTGTGTCAAAAATATACCTCAACATTCCACGATACGTCTCTGATATCCTGTCTTTGTTTTCTCCTCGGCTGTCGACTTCTCAGAGTTTTATTTAGGGTTCGTACCCGAGATCTTATCGTCTCGGCCTGTTTTTCGGTCAAATTCCTTTGTCTAACTGAATCTCTGATCACATTTTCAGTTATCTCCTTACCCTCCTGATAGAGTTTACTTAAATCGTTCAAACCCGCATTTTGAAGGAAATCGGTAGCTTGTTCAGCTTCTGCAATTTCGAATAAACATTACACTTAACAAAATAACTTAAGCAGAATAACCGCAAGAATTACCGTATGCAGAATTACCTGACATAACTTTTACGAAAACATCGATATTTTCAGATCACTAATTACAACAACCGTGTTCCTTATGGAGTAAAATGAAGCACATGCTTGTCCAGCTTTTGAAATTTTCAAATTTTGAATGTTGAAAACAAAAAACACAACGCTTTTTGAAAACTAATTACAAACTGCTATTGCGAAGCAGAATTACAATTTTAGAATCGTTGATTTAAAAAATGACGCACAGGAATATTACACTGATGAAAAACATTATAGAAAATTTGGCTTGATGGAATGATATTTAAACAATTAAAAAAGTTAGTTGAGACGATGAGAAATTATATAAGTATGTTAAGTGATTAAAATACTCGGATATACATAATTCGATACAGTTCATTTTGTTGTTCATCGAGTTTTCGATTGGTTCTGATTCCAGGTTATAATTTAAAAAAATTGTAACACAAGCAATAAATTTATCTGTAAAACTCACTCTTAACAATTAAAAGACCAAGGGGACTTACCGTTTGGTATGTGTATATCTTCTTCAATATTATTTATGTCATTTTGAGTATCCTTTACTTCGTCAAAGTAATATTTTAAAGCTTCTTCAGATTCCATTACAGATGTGGTTTGGGTCATATTTGAGAATCCATCTTTTTTAGGATCAACACTTTGAAGCCTGCAACATTAAAGATAACAGAATTATATCAAATGTATAAATACAGGAGATAGCAAATAATACAGCAATGCTAACGACATGTAACGCATGAAGTATCACGTTATAATGATTTTAAATTATCTAAAAATGAGATTGTGGCAATTACCTTAGATTTGTTTGTTTTAGTTGATAAACGGTGTTGGAAAATATTGTGTTTTAACTGGTTGGTTCAGTCATATTTGTATAAAAATATACGATTTCAATTTTAAGAAATGATACAGTTTAAAGGTCGATGTACATTAACCGGAACATCGAAGTTTCGCAAAAGCAGTTCAGTTAAATTGCTTTCAACAAAAATATTCGATTCAAATATAAGATTTCCTAAAGTATAAACAACGATTAATTTTTTTTGAAGACGAATAAACATTTGAAATGTTGCAAATCGCATAATTGTTAACTTTAAAAATCAATCAAAGTTGGTTCCTTCTTGGGTGAGGTCGATACTTTCCATTTTCTCCTTGTAATACTGTTCGTATGAAATTTGCCATAGTTTATTTTAAGATGTCTCTAATTATAAAAACATCTCTATAATCATTAAGTACCATATTAGCCTAACAATTATCTCTAAATCTGGTCTTATTCTTGACGTAACATAATGATTTTGAAATAAAATTCGATTGCATAACCAGTCATTCCTCTGTATTTGACCTTCTCTTTTTAAATTCTGCTTTGGAACCAGACCGAATTTCAGAGTTCTTTAACCAATTTCAGAAAAAAATAGTGTCCTTCTACATTTTCCTGGCTTAATCATTGTCAATTAGTCTAGCAGACATGCCTTTTAACCAGACAAAGCCATATCGTTTAATGGACTTATGTGGTTAGTTATTGACACATCCTGGTTTTCATTAAGTACAGCTCTGGTCGAAATTTCACGCAAATAGTGTCGTTAACTAGAATTTCTCATACAATAGGCGTTAAAGTGCCCAGGCGCTTTTCTCTTAATGAAAATATTGTTAATAAAATTAGATAACTGTAAAGCATGTATAGCGGTAATTGGTACTTCAATAATTTTCTTTTGTACTCGAATTCTAGTTAATGAATTAATATTTTAACGATTCATTCCGCATATATTGTCAATAGGAATTACAATGAGTCTTTGATCCCCTTTAATAACCGGCTAATATGTGGCGAAATACCGTTTTTAATGTGATTAGTATTATAAGTACTACTGGTATGCTACTTTTGAGCTCTTTTGTAATCTTTAAATGAGTTTTTGAACTGTTACGTTTAAAAATTAATAAGTAATGAAATTTTATAAAACCACATTTGGGTTCAGTGTAATGATCATTTTTTGCACAAGTGGCACCTTTACAATTAAAAAAAGATAGGAAAATACACAGTTAAGTAGTTTTAATTGATGCGGGCGCCTTTTATTACTTTATTAAATTTTATTATGGGTATACACTATATTTCGTTGAACGTTTAACTTCAATTATGTACGCAGGAATTGAAATATGAATTAAATAAACTTAATTTTTAATTATTATAAATTTCACTTTCAAGAGAAAATATTTTTTATTATCTCCATAAATCATTGTATAGAACGATTTTGTACAATTAAAATTAATTACAATTATAAGAGGCTGTGAGTCAACATGGGTCAAGTTCAATAAAAAAAATAAATAAAAAAATACAGTAGGTAATACAAGCTTATGTGTTTTCATTTCTGTATTTCGAATCAATCTCCATTTTTATCAAAAGTAGGAAAACCAGTATAAAGTAACACGTACTTGCATACGCAATAATGGTTATGAGAACTAATGTAAATGTATCGTGAAAACAAATTAATGTTATACTTTCTTTAAAATAAGACAAACAATAGTCGTGTGAAGAAATTATTTTACAATTACAGGCTTGTAGTCAGCGTTCAAACTGACATGAATATATCTGGTGCCTACACTGAATTTATACCATTATTTAAGTAGGTGACACTATCACCCACCGTTGGTAATTTTGTTCTATAATTTACAATTTTCCCTGAAGTATACAGTTTTATATATTCATGAAAAAAAAAAATGAATTGCACATAACGGTATACAACAAAACTTTCAATTATAGTAGTTTTAACTTAGTTTTAAGGTCTAAATGAGGCATACGAAATTATATTAAATTTAGAATACTCATATCACGAATAATAACCTATTTTAACCACTACAAATATTGAAAATTTGCTCACAGAGATAATTTAAAAATATTAATTACATCATTATTATCATCAACATTTTTTGTTAAGTAGTAACACATTTTAATGCCAATGCGGTGAGTCTGAATATTATGTGTTTTCATTCATTTTAAGCTGTTATTCTTATTTCAACATCGAAAATTACGAATTTACATAATTCATATTTAAACGGGAACCAAAATATTTTATCATTATAGCACCGAATGTCAAATTAGTAATTACAAATCGTAAATAAGTTCATATAAGTGTAATATACTAAATAATTTGTACGAATTTTGGGTCACCGGAGAAAGTAATGCGACGAAGGCACACCTTCACCTTACACCGCCTTAATTTTTTAACCTAATCACAAAATATTTAATTAAAATATTTTTTTAAATGCTAGAAACGGATTAAAGCGTTTAATCCCAAAAAAATTGTACTCTTTGAAGCAGAAAGTACGGAGTTTTTGTGAACAAATTGGTTCAAAATAATTTTTTTGAAGTATTTAAAATCCAACCTTGAGGTTGTTTAAATTTTATGACGTAATTGAATGTATGTATGTATTTGTTCTATGGTGCTAAAGTCGGGATTGACCTATGAGGAAAATACAAACGAATCAATTCGTTCAATAATAGGAATAAATTAAAACAATTAGTGCGTAATTTAATTTTTCAAATTTTAGTACGCACTACATACAAATTAGCATTTTTATAATTTACGTTTTAAAAATTAGTGAAAATATTAATTAATATGCCATGAGGCATGAGTGGTTTAGTGCAAACTATAAATATTTATACAAAGAATAATGAAAAACAAGGTCGTCAAACAAATACCATGCGATATCTAATGTAAACATGATTTAGAACGAAAAATTTGTAGCAAAGGAGTGTTTGCCAGGACTGTTGGGATGAGATCTTTTACACATTTTTTTGTAAATTTTCTTCTGTAATAATCGCAAGTGGTAAATGTATGGTACAGAAATTATTATTTAACGTCATACTGGTTTATCTAAAAAATGTTGGTATTAGATATGTACTTATTGTTGTGTATAGTTTATTAACCAAAGCTTTGTAAACTGTCATGCATTGGGCCGTATCAATATTATTAACTTGTTTAAACAAGATAACCTAATTGTATGACTCGTGCAGTCCGTATACCTGTGTTTTTGAAAGATTCAAAAATGCTAAAAATTTAAACATATATGCATAAAAAATTAAATGTGTATCAATAAAAACATCCTTGAATGATGTGTATGGAAATCATGTGGTGCGATAAAATTCAGAGCCTTATCAAGAAAGATTTACCACTATTTTTAGAGCGTTTTAGACCACTATAAATATTTAGATTCGGCCGGAAGCGACATGGGAGACTGAACTTTTTCAAACATTATTTAATTAAAAATAGAACGATTTTCTCACATCTTAAAATAATATCTGGAAAAACATGTAAAAATCGTCGTTAATTAAATTAAAAACAGTTCAAATGTATGCAATTTTTAAACGTTTTATCTCATTTCTTCATAATCATTCTTATCATGATTTTAAATATTATTCTGCTTTGCAACATTTTTCTCAAGAGCAAATATTTTCCTTCGAATCGTTTTCGTCATTAAAGCAACACAAAGTTCCATATTCTCCTTTGCTTTCGTGTCAGGTACTCAACAAACAACGTGAGATAACTTCAACAATTATTTTTATTCCTTCGGCCACTTCTCAAGGCAAATTCAAGCACAGAAATAAGCGCTAAATTTCCCACAATTTTCAACTATTATTCTCAATAAAAGTTTGTGCACCTGTTGCTTTAAAAACGATTAATGTCTCCAAATTTTCGTGTTCTTCCACCAGGAATTATTAGTTATTTTTTGGTTCGTTGTGTTCGTGCATAAAATTTATATTACCGCTGAAATTGCCATGACAAAAAAGTACAATGACTGGCGACGATAAGCAACGGGGTTATCATTGTTTGAAGCCAAGTTTTGGAAACGAACTTACCTTTAAGTAGACAACAATTTGCGTAACAATCGATAATTTATTTCGTTTTCTACGATAACAAAACACGCAGCTAATTGTCGTAACGTTTGGGCTAATCAGCTGATGCCTGTTCCTATGAAACGGACATAAAATTTTTACGGCGATTTTTTTTGCGTTAAGATAATTTTATGGGTGTAGTTAAATTATATTATAAAGTATAAAAAGTCGGTGTTTTAAATTTTAGAATATGCGCTGTTTTCAAAATATTTGTATTATGTACACAGATATATCTACAGGTGGTTGCAACAGAATTGTAAAATTCAAATTGCAATTTTGCAAATAAATAATGCAAAGTTTTCAAATATTATTGCTGCGTTATTTGCTTTAGAGTGTTAGAAAAATAAGGAATTTTTTAAAATGTTCACAAAACTTGAAGGAGTTCTTAAATTTCCACAATAAAAAACAGCAGTACTTACCAACGAAGAATACACAAAAACACAAGCTAGTCTTCAAGATTGTGGTTATGATACATCAAACAACTCGAATTCTCTTTATTTTATAATGGATTTGAGAAACAACTTCTCAAGAGATAAATCAGAAATCGCACTAGCACAGTTTTTCAATAAATAAGATGTCGGAAAATGCGAAAAAACAAAAGCTTTTGTTTGAGAATAAGACGTAGAAAACCTTGAATACTATTTCCTGTCCTCCACGAATGAAAATAACACTACATTTGTAAGGTACAAGACACAATTCTTCCCTACCTACTCAAAATAAACACGAACATAATCAACGTCAACAATATTATTTTTATCAAAATGTTGCCGGCAGCGCCATCTCTTTAATTTTAAAAATACTCGTAAAACCGTCACTAACAGAAAACTGTAATAATCAAATAAGATAAGTGTAATTGTTTACCCCTAAAAGTAGAGGCCACTGCCGGTTCAATTTTTTTAATTTAATTATTTAAATAACAGGATCATATATTTAATTCAATAATTTAATTTACTGCATACAACTTTCTGTTTCAAAGGTAGAAATAAAACAATTCAATAATTCTTTTATGAAAAGCTGTACTTAATTGCATATATGTTTTACATACAAAATACAATTTAAATAGAAAAATCCTAGTAATACTGTACATTTAATAAATAAATATCGATAATTTATTCGAGTATTGAAAATTTTATAACTAATATTTTCTTTAAATGGAGCATAATTTATGAGATAAATAATATAAATGTAATGATGTGCAAGCCATTGACAACAAATTCATGATAGCGACGGTCATGTGGATTCTTCTGAATGATTTGTGAATTTGTAGATAATATGGGCAGTCTTTTAATGATCCAAGGTTGTATTTTCCAACTTCCAAACCAACTCCAGCCTCTTTTTCGATTTTTTGTTTGACACCGATTAAATACAGCAGAGGAGGTGTGAAATAGAGGCGTACAGTGAGCTCTAACATAAAGCACACTCCTATTGAGATAGCCTGAAAGCAATAATAAGATTAAAGATTTTATTATTCCATAGATATCCGATTCAATTAACCTTAATGCAATTAAAAATGATTTTATAACTTATTATTCAAGGTCGAGATTCGATAAAAAATTTCCGAAGTAGGCTACGTCAGGTAAGATACTGGTTTTGTTTATTCAAGCAAATCAAATTACCTGAACGATGTTTTCTGTCGATTCCATCAATGCCGAGTTGTTCATTTTCATGAAGACGAAGAGAGTAACAAAACTGAGCGAAGCATTCAGAAGGAAGTATTTTGGAAACAATACTTCTTGAACGCTGCCGAAGGTATGTCTGGATAATGAGAAGAATAGAGCCAGGCCGGACACGAAAGTCATCCAAATTTGGGTTCCAAAATGAGCGCTGAACGAACCCAAATACAAGAGACTCCAAAGAGGAGACGCTTGATACTGTTTGTTTCCTGGGACCGTCAAATAAGCTATGAAAATGACCGACATTGCTGTTATAAAGTGAGCTGGTTGAGTTGTATGAACCAGGATTCTGCAAAGAAAATTATTTTTAGAAATCTATGGAATCGTTTCATTTATAAAATATATAAATATGTAAATGTTTATTTGTGATTTCCGCCAATTTTGCATACAAATTTAAAAATTAAGCACGCATCTCGTTGCGTGTTTGAAAAAATAATCAGCGAAAAGTTAAGTAATAGACATTTTAAATATAAAGAAAACCTATTATTTATAGTTGTTACTTGTTTCTCGCAATATTTAACGATTTTTTATAAAAAAAAACTCTAAAATTGAAGGGACTTTGCTGTCGATATAGAAATCTCGATCATTGGTAATATATTATCTTCCTCCAATCAAAATAAAATGAAATCAGGATATAGATATAATTCGATGCACTTTTAAATTATTACTTTCTCCTGATTTCAATCAACATAGGTATACTTTACGAGTTCAAAAGCCTATATATTTTTTATTATTCATGTCTCGAAAAATTTGTACCTATCAATGCAATCGTCTAAATGGCTATACTTGATGCATTTATTATCAGTATCGTTTAAAAAAAAATTCGATAAACAGATATTGATACTTTTTGATAATGTGTGATGTTTTAACAATGTAGACTGATAGTGCACAAAGCAACAAGGAATTTGAAAATATCACGTAGGCCAAAGAACCTATTAAAATAGCATATCGACGTTGATATGTTTAATGACTAAGATTGGAATGGTTTTTCAAAATGCACGTATGCCAAAATAATAAAAAAATAATGCATAATATGAAGCAATACTTACTTGTAACCATTTGATTCATAAAATTGATATTGCAGACGTTTAAGACAAGCAAACAAATCGTACGCGAATTTAGTAGATACACCCAGAATATCGTTTTCAAATTCACCCTCAGACTCTGTCGTTATTCTTCGACTATCTATCATTTCATTTCTTCGCTTGATAACCGTTTTTTCTTTCGATTGGTTTTTTGAATGAGTTCTTTCGAAATCACTTGCCTTTCTACCGACGCACATTTTTAATTGACAATTGCTGTATAATGCACCTCGGCACTTAAAAATTTTATTTGAAATTTACCTCACACACCACGTCGTGTAAGTACAAAATGTGAATTTTCGGTTTATACTTGTTAGTTATTTATACCTTCGCTGTCGTCAGCATGGAAACGCGCGTGTTTCGTGTGAACGTAACCGCGATTGAGAGGGGACTTGACGGATCTCCTTCTCGTGATAAGGCTCAAATCACATTTCTAGAGGGTGTTCTTCTTATAATATAAATAAAAATTTATTAAAATTTGTTGCTACTTCATCATACTTATAATTAATTGCCAATTAACCCTTCATTGGCCTAGTGCTGTTAATAATACTAATTGACTTTCGTTAGAATTTTGACAGTGATTCAAAGTTTTATTATCCTATCAAAGTTTTACTGACCCATCAAAGTTTTATTGCCCATATCAAAGTTTAACTGACATAATCGGAAAAAGTTTAATTAAAAAAACTATTTTAAAAACATGAGTATATTTTATCTTATGTACCAGGAACTAGTACTACTTCCAGAAATGGCAAAATTACTAAACAAATTAAACAATATTAAATGTGTACGTGGTTTTAAACTGATTTTTATCATAAATGACGGATTTTATGTGTATTATGACACCTATTATTGTATGTAAATATTATGTTTATCGATTAATTGAAGTTTTTTGAAATATCGTGTGCAAAATTGCGAATGATGGATGTTTTCTAAAAATATATAAAATTAAGTGTAACAGTACTTATCAAAGCGTGATATTGCAAATACTATGAACTTTCTACCAAAAACTGAATTATTAAGATTTATTCATTAAGAACCTATATACCTATAGGTAAATATATCCAAGTACATATATTTCTATTGCTAAATCGATTAAGAGCCTCTCTGATATTATTTAAGAATTGATTTACATAGAATATCTAGGGCAATGGGACAGAAACTAAAAATATCATCTATATATCTAAATATCTATTTTTAATTTATCCACCTAATTACATTTAAATTAGCGATAAAAAATATATTTTTGTGTTCGTTGCCTACTTCAATTATTAGTAACGGCTAGAGGTAATTCTATTAAGTGCTCTCTATGTTGTAATCAGTAATTTACTTTACCTTGACTTCAGAGTGTAGTGCAACTAATGCATAAAATTAATTGTAACCAATCATTTTTTATTCTAACGATTTAAAAGGATTTCCTTAATGGTATCCGTTTTTAAATAAGCAAATATACATCGACTTGTATTTTTTTCTATTTCTATCTTTATGGAACGTAGAAATTTTTATTATCGAGCCAAAAACATTCGTGAATGCATTTTATTTTGTTTAAGTTAATAGTCTAAAAATCGATTTTTTTAATTGCACTTTGTTTAATTTTGCAAACATTAAAGCAATGTAGAATTGCATCCGTGAGATTTTAGTTTTTGGTAAGTAAGTTGCGTCAATAATATTTAGTAATAATTTATGTAAATACTTGAAAATAATGATTCAATCTTTACTTATTTTAAATAGTACCTAATTGTTTAGTGAAAAAATAAATATATATTTTTAAAAGTTAGAATTATGAATGAGCATAAAGTTGCAGCAATGGTGAAACTATTTAGTTGTACCTTGGCGAAATAGTATCATTTATTAATGAATTGTACGTAGCCTATATATCCATGAGAAAATAGCAATTGGTCGAGTGACGTAATAGAAATTTGCAGTAATCAACTATAATAGCCCCTAGGAAGTTCTAATAAATCCGAACAGGCCTCCTCTGTTCTCTAGATCGTTATGTTTCATGGGTTTTGTCTCGGTAATGTGGTTTGTAATGCAAAATCATCAAGATAAAAGGATTCGTCTTCTGATATTACGCTATTAAAGTTTCATCGTCAACGAAATTTTTCGACATCAATTTACTGTGATACGAGGCCTCTATCACGTAGGCAAAGAACTGCCCCTCTGGCAACACCGTTGTATCTTTCTTTTTTTCCAAACAACAATAAAATCCGGTACCCGATTGGTTCAGTAAACACTGGCTGATAAAATTTCATACCATGACCATAGGTGGAACGCCGCGAAAAGGCAATATAACGTAATGCCATCAGTTAATTACATGATTTTTGCATGTCTACATATTGGCGAGGAGACCTTTATTAAAGAGTAAAGGGCAACAACCTGCTACCAACAGCAGTAAGCAGTTTCTTCAATTAAATTTTAATCGGTTTAAATTTATATAATAACGATTTTGAAAATGATGCCAAAAAATATAAATGCAATTATAAGAAATAATTAAACCAACACTCATTATTATCTTAAAAGTGATATGAACAAATTAAAGTTAAAATCTGTGTCAATAAAATTAAATTTCGATTAATATTTTAAGTAGAAACAAGATATAATATCTACAATATTCCTTTTAGTATTGAAATTAGGTAGAAAATTTAAATTAAGTACAGTTATACTGCAGGTACGCCTATGAAGTGAGGAGACAAGTTTATTGACCATAACTTGCAACATAACTTTATGCAGGTCGAATATTTCATCATATCATTATTGTTACTAACGAATTTTCCAAACAGAAATTTTCTTATATTATTTACTTTTAATAAAGTTTGATACTTACCTAATTAGAGATCTCTTAATTTTGTATACTGTAGAATAAAAAATTGTCATTATTTAATTAACGAAATCTACTATAAAAATATAATTTTCATCCAATAGTAAAGTAACGTCAATATTATAAATTTTCATTACAAAAAAGGTAACTATATGTAATTATAACTAATAATAAGAGAGTTCCATATTGCTCTAATGTGGACGGACATACTGTAGAAAATTATCAAAATTACATTCAGAGCAACTGTTACTAACCAGATACAGTTTAAATCGATAACAACACAGCTATAATAAAATTAATAATACCTTAGCTAATTTTGAATTAACAGGAAATTGCTGTTGTTACCAGTTTATTTTCTGCATTGTAAAATAATTTAATTCATTTCCTTCATTACAGTATATTATTATGATTAAGGGCACAATTGGATAGTAGATATACTTTATTTAATTTCACCCTCTCAATTTCAACAAGTTTTGATTATAAATCTGAACTATGACTTGACAACATGTTTGGAATAATTTTACGCAAACTGTATTAAGTAAATACGATGATTGCAATTAGGCAATAAATAACTTCAAATCAACACATAGAATTTGAACTCTGTGAGAATCATGCGAAAAATCGTAAAACGTCTCATGATTATTACTCATTACTGCTCCTGTTGTTCCGAGAAACGGTCACGAGAATACGCGTATGCCTGCTTACTTTAATGTTGCTAAAGTCCAGGATGTTCATTAAGTAAACACTCCAACTTTCATTCAACACGTGCCAAAAATTCATTCGCTTCCAATAATATTTCCAATATTTTCTTCTGCGAAACTTGTTCTTGTGTAATTAGGTAACATAAGAAAAATATTATTTCAATTACCACGAAAATAAATCTAATTAGGAATCCGTAATGCGGAAAGTGTAGTATTTTCTACCAAAAATTAGTTTTCTTTGTGGAAAAGATTAGTTTCCTAAAATGACAACGTTTATAAAAGCAGGTATATTTTTAATTTTTGAATTTAATATGGCTGCACCAAATGAAATGGTTGGTGACATCTATTTGTATCGTTTCGAAATAGCTTAGACAGAGTACATAGTGACTGGTGATAACAACACTGTACTTGCTCGTAGTACATGACATTTCCCAATGATGGCAGTAATATATTAAAGTTAGATTTATTAGAAAAAAATAAGAATAAATAGTTTTCCTATCACAAACCTCATTTAGTAGTGTTTTTAATTCTATTTTATTTTTTATTTCTATAGTTTTTTAGTTTATATATATCCAGGTGCTGAATTTCCAAAAACATAAAATTTATACAGCGTGTTAAGTAGTAATAATTTAGTTATAATTGTTGACATGCCTATGAATCCTGAAAAATATTGTGTTTTATTACTACTCGTAATTAGGGGAATCCTAACTTCAAAGCCTAATTATTTAATTCGCATGATTAATAATTTTGTTCGGACATTGATTCGAAATACAGGTTACATCTGCGTTTTTTTAACATCTGGTTAATAGCTGATATATTAAAACTCAGATTTTTATTGAGTTTCGGTCACTAGCTAGAAAGTACTTTCAATTTTGATTATAAAACGTTTTATTAAAGCAGTTATTCATTTTTAAACGGTCATTAATTTCGATCAACTTTGCGTTGTCCTGCTGTAATAATATTTTTAACAGTTAATTAGAAAATAAATGCGTTGAATTTAGGAGAATAGAAAGTGAGAACATATTCAAAAACGTCTAATTGCTTTAACTGTAAAATGCTGTATTATGATTTTATATGAAACCTGCAGGCAATGGTGTATTCTTAATTTATTTGCTGCATTTATTTAAATTCATGTTTTATTTATTATTAAACTATTTTCATATTTGTAACAAATCTGTAGAGTATCTTTGATATAAATAGAGCCTAAAAACTTCAAAAATGTGCAACATCAAAAAATTGTTCTAAGCTCCTGCGTTTTGTACTCTTTAATTTTGCCTTCAAGCCACTGGGGACATCGTTAAAGTTTACTAATTAGGATGTCACCTTAATCCTTGAGCTAGCTGAGGGTCGACAAACTCATTGAAATATTCCTGCAAGTATTTAGGTAATACAGGATAACTTGTAACTTCCACAAAATGATGGTAACTAGATAGAGTTCTAACTTTATGGTTTAAGTCAATCTACATATAATTGGATTTGGAAACTTTCAATAGTTTCGGGTTAAGATTTATCCAAAATACGCCCTACGAATAAAACATTTTATCTCTATAAATAATTCATTACTGTAGCTATTTTTTTTTGTATTTATTGAATGAACGACCATCGCTTTTTGTTAAGCAATATTATATGAAATTATTCAACCCTATTTTTTGCACAATCTCTTATATTAAGATTCCGTTCATTTCATTGAATTTACAATTAATTTATTCAGTCCATGGAAGCAAAAAGGGCCCTCGATTTAAGATTTTAAATTTTTTTAGAAGCAGTCGA